ATTCCCCTGAACTCTGGAGATAAACACAGTGTAATATCAGTAGGATTCCTCATGAAACTGAATTAAGTCTTTATTATATTGAAGTGCTCACTACTAAAGGAGTTGGAAACTTACTGCAATAAACAGGAAATACTGGCTTATATGGAGTAGATCTAGAAGTCTCTCTCTGGGATACATCATGAGGTGATCAATATTTAAAGAGGCTGTGGCTGTTGCCAGTATTTTAGTAATTAAAAACCCCCAAACAAAAACTACACCCCACGGGAGCGGGGTGTCGTGAGGGCTGCGGGGGCAGCGGGGGTCCCTGAGGGAGCCGGCCCAGCTGCACCCTTGTGGGGCGAAGCCTCTCCTTGGTGTGCTCGCCGTGGGGAGCGGCTGTGTGTGAGAGGGCGCTGGGGAGGTGCGCCGGGAGGGACACGGCTGGAAGTGACGGTTGGGTGCGAGTAAAGCGAACAGTAAACACCGCCCTGCATGTGGAGGGGAAGAAAGAGGCTGTGGCGTGGGAGACACAGAAGTGCGGGCATCTGAGGCCATTTCGTGCTCTTGTGCAGGTGTTGTGCTGTTCAAGGCAGTCCTGTCGGGATTTACCCTAATAACCCCCAATTCTCATAATTTGGTGCTACGTATCACAGAATCCCAGACTGGTTTCTGTTGGAAGGGACCTTAAAGCTCATCCAGCTCTAACCCCCTGCCACGGGCAGGGACACCTTCCACTAGAGCAGGGTGCTCCAAGCCCCTGTGTCCAACCTGGCCTTGAACACTGCCAGGGATGGGGCAGCCACCGCTTCTCTGGGCACCCTGTGCCAGCGCCTCAGCACCCTCCCAGGGAAGAGCTTCTGCCTCAGAGCTCATCTCAATCTCCCTACTGGCAGGATAACGGCATTCATTGCCCTTGTCCTGTCCCTCCATCCCTTGTCCAAAGCCCCTCTCCAGGTTTCCTGGAGCCCCTTTAGGCCCTGGAGCTGCTCTAAGGTGTCCCTTTCAGGAGCCTTCTCTTCTCCAGCTGCCCCAGCCCAGCTCTCTCAGCCTGGCTCCAGAGCAGAGCTGCTCCAGCCCTCGCAGCAGCTCCGCGAAATACCGGTTCGTCATGTGCAAGCATGTTTATTAACTAACTGTTATTAGAGCGAACAGTTGGTAAAAACACACGGCTGAAATGGCCCCCTGACAACCCCGGCGGCCGGGCAGCCCCAGTGCTCGCGGCTCCCTCCCCGGCTCCCTCCCCCCGGAAAACGAGCTGTTATTTTCCTTTTAGTTTCACAGCGCTACGACCCAGCACGCGATCGGGTGCTCGAGTCAGTGACTGGAGCTCGGCCGACCTCCCCGCCTCGGGAGAAGCGGGAGGGGCTCCCTCCTAACCCGCGCCACTCCGCGGCACCCCCAGCTCCTTCACCCCCCGTTTGGGGGTGCACCCAGGACACGGGGGGTTCTGGACTGTAAGTGCACATTGTCTCATTTGGTGATTAATTCAGGTGAAAAACAAAAGCATAACAAAAAGTGGAATTGCTGATTATGTTTTCACTATTGATGTATGTTTTCTCTTACAGAGAGCCAAGCCTCCTAAGGAACAAAGAAATGACAATTTTGTCTTGGCCTGGAGACAGAAAGAAAAGGAACTCCTTGAAAATACTAATTTAATAAAGCTGTTTGACCAGTACTGCAAGGTCTACAGATGGCAGCAACACAAAGAGCAAAAGTGGCTGCACAGTGATGTGCAGAGAAAGGTTAATGCGACAATGCAGGAGTATCTGGCCAGGATTGATGAGAGGAGAGCGAGGTAGGGAACAAGTTGCTAATACCAATTTCTGCCCTGCTATTTTTAACTTAGAGGAATGATGTCAGGGAAAAGCATTCTAGAGCTCATCATTGTATGTTACAATGTGTGTTGGAGCAGGTTGTTTGTGATTGTAACAGAAAGCGCAGGAGTGCTTATTTGTTGTTCAAGCAGCAATGTACAGCAAATAGTAGTTACTGGTCTGTCATTACTAGCTTTGAAGAGTGAACCAATCACCACAGATCACTTCAAACACAGTAACTAGGACAGTTCAGGTGGCATTTAGAGCTTTGTCTGCCAAATGCAAATTAAAATTAGTATTTTAAAGTAGTAGTAGTAGTGTATTCAGTATATAGTTGTAGTATATTCACTTTAATTACTTATTTTTAAAGAGAACAAAGAGTACTTTATTGTCAGAAGCTTTAATTGCTGCTTGTAACTGAGTGTTTTGTTGTAGCCTCATCAGGTCAATGTTTAGGTCGTACAAGTAATTTTTATCACTGGCAGTTTAGAAAATAAATGAATTTCAGAGGTCATTCAGAAATAACAAAGGTGAGGCATATTACAGTCCGGTAAAGAACAGAACTGAGCTGTGCTGAGCTGTGGGAAAAAAATTGTATGATTTCATTTGTTAGTTATTCTTTCATGTTACGTGACTTTGGAGCTGTGAAAGTCACTGGTTAGGAACAGTCATAGCAAGTATGTACCACTTGCCCAGGTTGGAAGGAACCTCCTGAAATAATCTAGTCCAACCCTCTACTCAAGCAGTCATGTAAAGCAGGTTGTGCCCAGGACTGTGTCCATTTGGGTTTTGCTTATCTCCATGCATGGAGACTTCACCATCCCTGTGGGCAACGTCTATCAGTATGTGACCACCCTCACAGTTAAAAAACAAACCAAAACAAACCCAAATTCTCAGGTGGAATTTCACATGTTTTAGGTTGTGCCTGTTGCCTCTTGTGTTGTCACTGTGCACTACTGAGAAGACGCTGTCTCCCTTTTCCACATTCCTTCCCTTCAGGTGTTTATATACATGGATAAGTTCCCCTGAACCTTCTCCAGGTTGAAGTTTCTCCCTTCAGGAGAGATGCTCCAGTCCCTTAATCGTCTTAGTGGCCCTTCACTGGGCTTGCTCCACTAAGTGTGTATTTTTCTTGTTCTGGGGAGCCCAGAACTGAATCTAGCAATCTAGGTGAGGTCTCATCGGTGCTGAAAGGAAAGTTCACCTCCGTTGACCTGCTGGCAGTGCTTTTCCTCATGCCGACCAAGATGCTGTTGGCTTGCTTTGCCGCAAGGGTGCACTGCTGGCTTATGCTCAGCTGGTCTGGCAGGGCCCCCGGGTCCCTTACGGCAGAGCCACTCTCCAGCCAGTCAGCACGGAATATGTACCAATTAATTGGGTTATTCCTCCCCTGGTGTTGCTGAACTTCATGGGTCTTGTTCTTATTTAGCTGCGTAATATCCCCATGTTGTCTTTGCAAGGAGACTCAGCTTGGTATATGATTAAGACTCTCTAATTCAGTTTCCAGAATTGGTTAGTCTTTGGCTTTGCTACTATAACTCCCACTGGCAGTGCCAACGCAGGTCCAGAGCACTATTGCTCATGCAGTAGGAGGGGCATACCATTGTATAAAAGTGAGACTGATTTCCTGGGGTACACTGTGGCATTCGGGCTGGAATTGGTGAGTTTCTGGATTCCTGAATTCCCCCCTGTTTCTTTCTGCTAGGATAAATAGAGAGGTAAATAGTGGCATGTTTGAAAATTGCCAATTTGATGTATTTTTCTCATCAAAGTTCTTTCATAGTGAAGTGGTTTATGGAGTAATGCTGAAATAATATAAGGTAGTTTAAGGGAAGATACAGTTACAAATGTGTAGAGAAGGATGTTAAATACCAGGGAGGGATTATGCTGAAGGATAACACTAGTATAAGATGAAATTCATTTCAGCTGGTGACAAATGTAGTGTTTGTTTAATGGGGGACTGAAGTTGTAAAGCAGCATTGGAAATGGGTTTGTAAGATAAGGACATTAAATCGTGCCAGAACAGAATAGCTCATGTTGTGCTGTAAGATTCCCTCCATGAGCACATCAGAAATGATCCCTGAGTTAAAATTTGATGTTCGCTTCTTTGGCATTTGAAAGAAGTGTTGAAAGGAGCCTGGTACCTATTTTGTGCTCGTAACAAGTAAACTCAAACTTATTCAACAGAAGGGTTGTTTTAGCTTTCCTTTAAATGTTTTTTTTACAGGCTTTGTGAGCTTCTGGACGCAGAGGAAAGCAGGTACTGTGCTGAGATGGAGGCACTTGAAGAAACAGCAGAGGAAAAACAAGCAAAGATGAAGAAGAGAGCAAAATTACTGAAAGAGAAGAGAGAAGAGGAGAGACAACAACTGGTGGCTGAAAAACAAGAGCAGCAATTCAGGTATCACCATAAAAATATCTTATAAAAGAGAATTTGTCTGAAGCAAATATAAAGAGGCCATTTAACAAGGTGACAATAATCAAGTGAGTGAGAAAAGATGAATGTGTTTGAAGTGATAAGCCAAAAAAGATTAAGGTGGTTTGGATAGAGGTGTATGAACTTTGCCAAGAGTTGTGAGGCCTCAGCTATGCTGCATGCAGTGAAGCAGAGGATAGCCTGTTTCTGACTTTCTGTGGTCCAGAGACCAAATTTGCAATGCTGTAGTGCTCAGTAAAGTACGTGAGAAAAAAATTCATTAGTAGAGATGAAGGCAACAGGTACAGAGAACTTCACTCTCCCCGTTATTTAAGCGTTGAGATACCATGAAAACATTCTTCCAAGCATACTGTGAAACTCTGTGTCCTCTGTGAGCATCCCTGCACTTTCACCTGCCAAGTCAGCTGTTTTTGTCATTCCTTATTCTGGCATAGCAGTTCTGTTTCACCTTTATACTACTGGAGTGAAAAGCGTTCATAGAAGATTCATGCTTCCTAAGCTACACTGAAGATCCTTCAAAAGTGAAGATTGTCCAATAAGTTAGTGTTATTTATTGCATACTTTTCAACAGTTCCAGCCAAACGTTAAGTTTAAATGCAGCCTGAAGTTCCTGGATGCTGAGCTTGGCAACATCTTCCAAAGTCATTAAGATTTACAGGGGTATATCAGGCTCTGAGGCCCTGGCATGAAATCTGACTTGTTCAGTTCTTGGAAATCTGGTTTTCTGAGAAAGGGATGAAAATAATATTAATGTATTTTAATTGTAATCATTTGAAGTGTCTCTTTCTAGACTCCCATGGTGGAAATCCGTAACACCTGCTTCTCAGTGTGCAGGGATAAAAATCAACACTTGCTTTCACTTGTGCGTAAACTCTAATTAACTAATTTCACAGGTAAATGTCTGTTTCTTAAGTGTGGGGTTCGTTGACTGAGACAGATGTTAAGACAGCGCATGCACTTCTAAATTCGCATGCTGGATTTAATTATATGGCCCTCACAATTGACAATTTCTAGTTTGTATCCACCATGCAGTGGTTGAAATTCACTTTTAAAATTGTTTTGAGGAGATGCTGCTGGACTGCCTTTTATTTTGCACCTGTAGCTTGTCTTACATGCCGAGGAGACATGAATCAGCTTCTGATTTAGACACCTAAAGGTAGGTGTCTAAGTGTTGCTGTCTTTATATTCATGGGCAATATGAAAGCTTGTTCTACTCAGTGGATTTTCATTGAGATCAGGACAGTTAAAGGAACCTAATGTTATCCTGCACTAGCCATATACTGGTCTGTCCCTGGCCTCTAATAACTGCATTGATTAGGTAGGTTCCCATTGATTAGAATGGGAATTTAGCTGATACGTAGATGTCTAACTTTAGTTGCAAACTGAATCCCACCAGTGAATCTCGTCATCTGCTGGTAACACACTTGGACTTTGATGGTACAGTTACCTGTCTTGATGTCTCAGGTCCTCTTTTCTCCCAGTACAACCCTATTGATACATGATTGACTCAGTCTCATGGGTCATTCCCATCATTCTTCTACCTTTCCCAGTCTGCTCTTGGATCTAGGCAATATTCATTCATACCTTGTATCAGTCTCCCCTCTATCAGTTTAAGGCCATTCCCCCTTGTCCTACCCCTCTTGCCCTTTTGACAGGCCCTTGTCAAAAGTCCCTCTCCTGCTTTCTTGTAGGCCCACTTTAGGTATTGGAAGGCTGCTATGAATATATATAAGTAATGTATTTACTTATTTATAAATTATGTACTTAGTATATTATATACATTATAAAACATATGCAAAATATAAATTAAAAGAGGGCAAGGTAAAGAGAAGTAAACACTATTTTAATTTTAATTTCAATTTTAATGTTACTTATTAATGTTACAAAACATATATTCTTCCCACACCCCAGTGGATTGTCTTGCACACCCCACTTTGGAAACCTTTCCTCTAAGGCACAGCCAGAGGAGCCCAGGGAGGTGATTTCAATAGCAGGTGGATATACACATGATTTCTCTTCCTCTTTGCCTGTGAATTTACAACTATTTGGAATGTCTTTCTGAAACCTAACACAGACTTCTTTACATTCCTTTTAACTTAAGAAAGGCGCTCCACTGTTTTGCAGGTATAGATTCTCAGCCCGAGGTATGGGAGCACCTGAAGTGTACAGCACTCCAGTACATAATTTCAAAATACTAAAAGGATGCTCTTTTATCAGCTGTGTGGGCTGGGTTTGGAGCTGTAGCCTGAGGGTAGTAGATCTAACAGCTCCTCAGTGGTGATGTTAGCCAGGAAGAGCCCTTTTTTGGGAGGTAATAGAGGGCACAGTCCTTGGACTACCAGAATCACACTGGAATTCATGTTCGTGAAGAGCTGCAGCTTGTATGAGGAGATACTCAGCCAGTTTTAGCCCAAGGGCGTGTTCATCATTGGTATCTTTAAAGAAAATTTCAATGTCTTAAAATTTGCATAAAACACGTCCTTTTTATTGTGATAACATCAAACATCCATACAGAGAACGCTGTTATCACAGCAACTTTGTATTGCAGCGATAAAATGAATAAATAACTGCGAGTGATGGGGAATAAATGCAGTTTCTGTCTTTGGGAAGTAGCTACATACATTTTAATGTTAAGAAGCTTAGGATAGCAAGCGAGAAGAAAACCAGCCATCTGGGGGAGCAGATGTTTATAGGTTGCTGTAAAAGCTGCTTTGAAGGAATTATTTTGATGAAATCGAGCAATTATAGGGTTATTTTATATTAAAATCCTAACCGTGCTGAACTTTTATTTAACTTCTCTTCCCCCCTGAGAATTCAATTAAAATTCAGATTAGTTTGTAGTCATGAGAAAGAATAAGTAATTCTTTATTCCTTCACTGCTGAGAGAACTTTGAACCCATTGTGTTAAGGTAATACAGCTATTTCTAATGGTGTAAGATTTCAAATCTTAATAATGGTGTGTTTCCATCGCAACATTTCAGAAACACATTTTTCATGAATACTAGTTGGTATTGTAGTCTTTAATCACCACTAACTCCTGACCAGGAGTTGGAAGATAGATCCCAGTGCTAAAATGTAAGAAAACTGGCAATAACACAGTATGTTTGTTGACCTGCTTGAAGGATGGGGGTACCTCTTGGAGTGTGCCATTGCTTACAGCATGCACATCTCTGTGCTGCTCTCTGCTTTCATTGTTGGGACGACCAGCAGTCAGAAGGTTCCTGGCTTGTACAAGAGGTAAACCATTTCTTTTCACTAGCCTGCACTGGCATCTGCTCCTTTGTTACTGCATTTCTTCACCCTTTTCTTCTGCAGCTGCACTAAGGATGGTTCCTCACTCCAGGGACAGTTTCTTCTTTAGAGGATACAAGCCTCACTGGAGGCGAAGAACCAGCATTTGGTTACAGGATGTGGAATGTCTCAGGGTTGGGGGCCGGGGAGTGTACTAAGTGTGGCAGGCTTTATCTTACAGAGACCTGGCGTTGATGAAAGGGGACTTGACAGATTGCTGTTGTTTCCTCGTAGTTAAGAAATTAGAAATACCTTCTGGATATCAAGCAAAATGAGAATTTTGTTTTCATGGCACTGCTTTCCCTTTTATTGTTTGTGTATAGTTCTTGGCACCTTCCACCACAGACTCCATGGCACTAGGTGCTTTACATGTAGAGGATTAAGAGAGGGATGCCCTTGGCCCCAGAAACTCACAGCTGAAATGTGAGGCAGCAAACAGTGAATGGTGACAGGAAGAAAATGTGGTGAGACCTCTGCTTCTGCATGAAATTACAGGTCATGGATTGTGTTCTTTGGCTGTACCTCACTGCTGCAGCAACAAGGGACAGCAAGGTGTAGCAACCTTTCCCCTCCACAGTCAGCTCTGATTTTGCACTGCTCCGCTCTAAGTTTGACTGGTTGGATGGCTGTTGTGGCAATGAGAACAGGGTCAGTCTGGCTTTCAGCACTGTCACTTTTTCTGTCTGTCAGCAGCTTTTTCAGCCGGTTCTGAACCAGAGAAGAGCTATTTGGGGAAATGCTCTTTGTATTTTATAATCCTAAGTATTTTTCAGTCGGCTGTTTTAGCATGGAGTTTTATTGATAAAGCTTTGGAAGATCTTGTAAGCCAACACATAATTTTTTACATGCTGGTGTTTGCCTCAGCCACGTATTAATGATACCAGGAGCTGTGCTCATTCTGTGCTTGTTAGTAGGAGGTGAGCAGGAGGTGATGAAGGAGCAGTGTCAGGTGAAGAAGCCATTATTTCAGAGCATAATCTTGCTAGTTTTAGGGCTGAAATGAGTTACAGATCACCAGTCACACCCTGTTTTGCTAAGTTTTCTCTGTTTGCCTCATTGCCAGTGGATATAGCTGTTGATCTTAGGGAGAGGCCAAATTTGAGTTGTTTCTGAGACCTCCATGGAGGTGTGAAGCCATGGCCCCAGAGGGAATAATGCTCCTATTAACTCTGTACCTAACCCCCCCATCAGGGAATATAGATGTGGGTTTAGATGGAGACAGCAGCTGTATTAGACTTTGGAATCATTTAGAAGAGTGAAGACTTTGCAAAGATAGGTCCTTAGCAGGGCCACAGAACATGAAAAAGCAAACCACCAAATACCTACTTTTAGTGCTGGCAAACTTGATTTTTTTTTACTTAAAACCAAAATTACAACTTAGTCAATGGAATTCAGATTTTATTGCATTGCTGTAGTTATGCAAATTAACTGTAACTATCCCAGTGTGGAGACTGATAGTTCTGTGAGACAGTTGCTTGATGACTATTAAATATTTCAGCTACGCAGCTAAATGCTGTGTAAAGTAATAGTATTTCACACTGTACAGGTAACTGCTGCTGCCATGCAGTGGTTTGAGATTCAGTCAATAATATCGTGCAGTATCTGCTGTGAATTCCTAATTAGCATTGCAGTAACCTATAGAAGATGGCTTTGTTCAGCATGAAATTGTGAGATATCTTTTTACCTCACAGCATTCACGTCTGTCTGTCACACATCCTTAGAGCTTATAGATCCTGAACACTTGTAGATCTTCACCATTGTTTGCCAGTTTCCCATTTTGATTTTGTGAAAATTTATATCCTGCTTATAGAACAGAATTAAATGCTTGTATATTGTTCAAATGAGATGTTGTTCAATAGCATATGTTGATCTCAGTAGTGTTTTGTTTGCAAAAATAAAGGCAGAATCTGTAAATAGTCGAGTGTTCTTCAGCTGGGGACAAATACCTGTTCATATGCAACTCAGTTGTGGTGAGTAAGTGAAAATTGAAAGCTGCATTAGTTGTTTGACTTTCTAGTTTCTCCCAACTTTCATTGCAACTTTTCTGAGTTATCCCACAAAACTTCATTTAAAAAATTAACCTAAATTTCCGTGCTCAAAGTATTTCCTGAATATGAATGAGTTTTCAAGTGACTAATAAAGATATTCTAAGTCCTCATTTGAATAAAGAGCAACCTACATGTTGAACAAGTGCAGTGTGCATGAGTTTTTTATGTTAAAAAGAAATATACAAACCCCACACATTGCATGTTCCAACTGCATATATATATTTTGTAAAAAACCCATGTTGTGTATATAATGGATGTACATATTGTGCATGTGCATATATATATATATTTTACAAATGCAGATATAGGACCTGCTCTTCAACTCGTCATGTCCAAATCCCCATCACATCAGGCTCTCTGTGATTCCTTAGGTCTCACAAGGAGTCAATGTCAGACCAGGTGTACAATTTGGTATACTGAGCCATGGTCCTTTGAGTATTATGAGCTGAGAACCTCTATCCATCACACACCTCCAGACTGGCTTATTACTTTGAGACTTTTGAGGTTTTTTAACTTTTATGTTGCCTTTCAGAGAACAATCTGAGGAGCTTCGTACACTGTGGATGAAGCAACATCAGAAGGAAGTGTTTGAAGACCAGCTGGCCCAGGTAGCACTGAAGGAGGAGTTGGAAAAGCAGCAGAAGGAGGAGGAGGAGATATTTGAAGAACTTTTGAAAGAGGATGTGTTAGCAAAGGAAAAGCAAGAGGCAGTGAAGATGCAGAAAGCAGCAGAACAGAATCGGGAAACCCTGAATGCGCTCAGTGCCCAGGTAGCAGTGCTCAGTGCTCACAAAGAGGAGGCGAAGTGGCTGAAGGAGGAAGAGGCTCGATTGCTGGTAATTTCTGTATCATTCTCAATTCAGGGTTGTGTCTGAGGCCCTCCTAATGATAGTCTTACTAGACATTTAGATTAATCCATACCTTATTTGTATCTTCACTGATTCCATTAGTATCTGAGACTGCCCTATTATGCTAAGCCTCTTTTCCAGAGCTGTGGCAAATGCATTCCTGTTTACAGAGGGAAATACATCTTTTGAAGCTTAGCATTGTAAAGGATTTCGGCTTTCAGAGCCTCTGTGGGAAATTGAAATGTTTTTATCCTTTTGCCCCACATCTTTGCAGTTTTCTGATTTTCACTTTCTTGTGGGATAGCTGGAGAGTCTTGTGACCCAGCTGTGACACCCAACACCAGATCTCAGACCATGATATGTATGTTCAATGATCATGGTAAAAGCACTGGGAGGAAACAGCAAGAGTGTGCTGCTCCCGGAAGGGAAGTGGAGCCAGGAACTGAAGGTGAGAGTAGGGCAGGCAAGTACACTGTCCTCCCCATCAAATGCCCCACAGTACCCAAAGGAATAGAGCAGACCAAATTTGCTGACAGTAACTGGGGCTGTCTAACAGTCCAGACTGCTTGGCAGATCTGTAGGAATGAAGTCCAAGATGAAGCTAGCAAGTCAAGTCAGCTGGTCTAGATCAGGATCAACCTGAGGCACAGGTGTACCTGCAGCATAGCTCATGGAGGCACCAAGGGCAAGGGGCAGAGCCTCACTGCAGCTCCCAGGTGACCCCTCTCAGCACTGTCTCACACCCCTGTTTCCCAGCCCTCTGATCCAAGGCCCATGTAAGGGCTGGCTGCAAGCACAGGTAGCAAAGCCCTGCAGAGAGGTTGTAGAGCCTGTTGGTGCACTCAGGACCCTCATACATACATGAGGAGACACATTTATGTATATAAAAAATCCTAGTTGAGACTATTCAGTTCAGACTCAGTCTTCATTTTGCAGCTATTTAAATGTAGTTATTGAATGATCACTCAGAGTACTCTGTTAGGCACTGGAAGCTGATGTTGGCAAGATACATACTCCACTGATTTTTAAAAATAATGAATCTACACTGTGAAAATCCTGGCTGTAAAACAGTAGAGTTCTTATTCCAAGTTAGACTGTAATGTTTCACTTACTTAAAAAGATGCAGAATGAAACTGTTTTCTTTTAACAACTTTTAAGGCACTGCCAAACCTCCCATGCAAAGAACCCTTCTACTTAACTGGCCTTTTCAGAAAAATGCTACTGGAATAGAAGACTGTAGCTTCCTCTGAAGACAGCTGCCTTGGGCTCTGTCAAGGAGATAAATTTCTGGTGAAGTGGTTTAGTGTCTCAGAAAAAGCTTTCTTCAAAGCGTCCATAAAGGAGAGTTTCTGTATTGAAAATGGGATATAATCCTTTTCCAGAGAAGAGGGATATGGCAGATGGCCCCATTACAAGTTTCTCAGTGCAGAATTGGTAGCCTTTAATGATCAGGGCTTTCATCTGGGTGAAGGACGCACTAAGGACAACAAAGTCTCTGTGTATAGTGGTTTCTTCTGGTTGCTGCTGGAAATAGATTATTTAGTGAAGTAAAACTTGCACCTTTGCCATGAAAGACCATGTGTGCATCAAAATACCTCAGGCTGGATGACAATGATCACATACTGGTTTATGACTATGTTTAAGCACAGTTGTGCTTGTAAACATACTCAAATGCAGGCTGTTCGGGAATTATGCTAAATTAGTTTATTGATGCTACTCTAGGATTAAGTTTGTTTTTTTTTTCTAAATATTCTTGAATATACCTGTTTGATCTTGAATACGTTTCCTGGTTTTCACTGTTTCTTTCTTCAGAACTCAGCTCTACTGTCCATTTTTTCTCTTCTTTCCAATATAAAATGGAATGGTTTGAAATCAGGGAAATTCAGTAACTGCCCATCAAAATATAAAGATCCAGTTACTTACTTTATACAACCTTATGTTCACTAGTTCTCTGCTCTGGACATCCAGCACAGATGTGTGACAGATAATGCATGCAGAAACAGGAGGGTTCTGTTACTGGCTAATGGTTATGGCTGCATGTGAAGACTTGGATGTAGATCATAAATGCTGCAATGATATTGATTTCTCTGAAGAGATGATTCTGCCTACCTCTTGAAATATTTGGAGAACATCAGGCATTTCAGTGTTTTGATATTGAAGTGCATGTGATAATTAAATGTAAAAATCCTGAATTCTACTAAATGATATGCTAAAATGTTCATGCTTTAACAGGTGCAATGGTTCACACTGATTCTCTAATGTCAGCAAGAAAGGCTTTAAATATTTATCTTTGCTGTCCGATGTTCCAATTAAACTAATTCTGGCCATCACTTAGTTTGAAGTTATGCAAAGATTTTAAAAGCTGTCTATTTTTACCATTGCAGGAAGAAGAGCAGCAGCTGCTGAAACTAGAAAACGAACAACTTCAGATGGAGAAACTACAAAAACAGAGGGAATGCAGGGATATGTTGCTTAGTGCAGCACAGGACAGGAAGAATCGTCTTAATGAAGAAAAACGAGTTGAACTTGCCTTAGAGATGAAGATCTTAGAAAAAGCTCTTCAGGACCCCCAGCAGAAGATTGAGAAAGCAAGAAGAAAAGTAAGGCCTAGAGGTGTTTCTTGTGAAGCTGTGAGGGAATACCTCATCTAGACTGATTTTGTGGCCCTTAGTGCTTTATAGTGCACAGTATACGTGAGATCAGACACAAGCCTTTTTCTCTGAACAAGTTGATTCTTTTCTTGCATAGCCTATTGCCTCTCCTTCTGCCAGCGTTCTGCGTCCCTTAAGAAACCCATTATCTGTTAAACCCACAGTGAGTAATTTAAAGCATTCTTTGCAATCAACAAGGGTACCAAGCTAGGTGAAAGAAGTGAGCTCTTAGGAAATCCTGGACTCTTGTCCCTCTGTGTCAATTTCAAGGTGTGTAAATCACCTGAGCTTTTTCATCCTTGCAGTACATGGGTGTAATGGAGGTTAGAAAAATATTTTTTGTTTCATGGACCTGATTTGTTAAATATTTGCAACTGCAGAGGAAAGTAAATTTATTCTAATTCATTAATGCCAAGAAATGGTTTTAAGTCTTAGCTGGATAAGCCAAGATACAGATATAGCATAGATACAGATAGCTGCATATATAGATGCAAAACCTCATGTTAAATATCTTGGAGATGCCATGAATTGGTGGATATGAGTGTCACTTCCTAATTCAAAATAAGTAGATTGTCCAACTTCAGGGTAAAAATAGCTCTCAAGGTAACTTCAAGCCAGAGCAGAGAGCTGCATTCATTACTCTGCTCAACTTATTTGGAAGCTCATGTGAGTTTATACAAGAAAGCTGTATAAATTCACTGTTAGACCTTGGCACAAAATTAGAGGAGGTGATACTTATTATTAGATTTACTGGACCCCAAGGCTTCTAATACAGGTAAAGGTGTGAAGTAGCTGTGGGAAGTTTGTGAAATGTTTGTGTTGTAGGCAACTGAGCTTCTGTGGGGGAAGGGACCACTTGGTTTTGTTCTGCTCTGACACTGTTATCCAGGCACTGTTGACTGGCCAGGAAGAAGATTCTACACAGCTCTTTCCCATGGCAGGGTTTGGAACCCAGCTGTCAGTTCTCACAGTGGCTGCAAACCCCACTTCTCTTCACATTTTGAAAGGTTTTTTGAAGTCATTTACTCAGCTTTGCAAATGTCTGTGTCTTTGCAGCAAGAGCTGTTAAAGGAGCAGAAGACTTACCTGGCACACCTGGCTCAACAGCTGGAGGAGGAGAACCAGCGAGAAAAAGAAGTGGACAAGATCATCGATGGGGAGATGGCGAAGATTTGGGCCAAAAAGGCTGAGCAATTGCGTCTAGAAAAGGAGGCTAGAGAGCAGCTCCTGAATGATGTCCTGAAGACAAGGCAGCTGCAGATTCAGGAGAAGTGTAAGTAGTAACAGCTCACTGTCTGGGCACCAAACCTATCACATGAATGTGAGTCTTGGCAAAGGCAGAGGGAGTACAGCACACTGCTTTTGGGAAGACCATCTGGCCCAGCATGCACAGGGGGTATGGTTGAATGGACGACAATGCTACTGCATCTGAATCTGCTTCTGAAACTTCACTCCTACAGACATGCCTTGCACTAATTTCCCACTGCTGTCACCACAGCAAAGCGTAGTAAAGTAAGGATTGCATGAGCAAGCAGTCATTATTATTAATTACATTATTATTAAATTCTTAATGTGAAATCTTTTCTATTCTGAGTGGGTGAAAAACAAATACGCTGAGAATACACTTGCCATTGTTTTTTGTGCCTCTTCAGAAGCAACAGAGCTCAGGCTTGCTATTTAGGCTACTTGTCTTGAACACAGCCTCGCTGTTTTCAAGATTAGCAGTGCTGTTACCTTTAAAAGGTTTTGTTTTTTGGGATTTTTTGCAGTGCAGAGAAACATAAAGGAGCAGGAAGAACTTGCTCAAGAGAAGAAGTTATTAGCTGAAGCAATCGCAGAACTCAAGCAAACAGAAGAAGAAAAATATGCAAGGTATTTTTTTTCTATGCCATCAGTTCATTTCATTGCAGATCAGTGTTGTAAACTTGTGAGAAGGCTAATTCTTATTTTCATATAACTTTAAGAGCACTGGGTGGGCTTTCTTCTGTTCAGAGAGGCTCTGCTGCTGTGCAGCCCGTTTGCTCCAAACTGCTCAACAGCAGCCCTGTTACACTGCAGTAGATATTAAATCACTGATTCCAATCTCATCATCCAAATAATGGTGTTTCATTATATATCCTTGTTTTGGTCTTTTGGGAAGATCATGTGACTTGCATCAATCATGGTTATTAAATACATCCCCTCATACTCCAAACTGTTATTATGAGTGGCAGAATTTGGGGAGAAGGGTTAATGAAGGGTTAATTCATTACTTACCTAGGAGAACTAGTGTGTTCAGGCTTATTGCTAAACTTCACCCACATGCATCCCTTAAACAATCATATAGGCAGCCACCCAAATAATACGTTACTGCACGAAACTCAGCTATGTGGGGTTCTCCTTCCCTTACAGCTCTTCAGGGTGAGAATGTAGTTACATGCAATAGCAGAAATGTTCCTCCGGGTGTCATGCCAAGCCTAGGGCACCGGGCCTTCTGCTTCCTCATTTCCCTTTTGCACTCCTGCCCTTTATCCACACCTGTCCACAGGAAGTAACTGAGTAGCTCCTTCCATAGACAATATCTGTTATGTTCTCTGATGGTGTTATTGGTAACAATCTCCTGGCTACAGCAGGAACGTCACCCTTCTGAAGGAAACATGCTGGGCTTCCTTTTGGATATGCTTCACTTAGCAAAGGTGTCATTCTGTGGAGTCAGTAAGCGTTTGTGGTTCAACTGTGTTGCGTTAGTGCACAAGTCTGGACTAGACTGTTGGTATTTTAAGAGTCTGTGTGAGTCTGTGTGACTCCTGCTCCAGAAGTGCCTGAACATGTAGGTAGACGTCCACTGCTTCTCCAGAGGGTAGTGAAAGTAATCTGTGAGTCTTGAGGTGGAAAGGAAGACTGATTTCTTTTGACAGCCATTTCCTAGAATATCAGTACAACAGCGCAGCAGGAGCCTGCACCTTGCCTTCCCTTTGGGCAGTAAGTTGTTATCTTCAGAATGAAGGCACAGAGATAGGGTATAAGGCTGCTGCAGCAGTGAGCCTCAGATAGGAAAGGACGGATCCCTGACACACTGGTTCTTTGTCCTCTCACCACCACTGTGAGGGGCAGAGAAGGGGCAAGGATGGTTACAGAGAGTTGTTCTTGCTCTCTTTGTGTTGAGCACTGATTTTGCAGTGTGCTTTATAAAATGTTACAGAATGCAATTAATTCTCCAAAGACCCTAAGGTTAGCATGTAGCATTTGGTTAATAGAATGGTAGTTATTCTTAACACCTAAAAGGAGTTCTTTAGTCCAAGGTTGAATGCTAATAGCTTTAATAATAATAATAATAATAATAATAATGATGATGATGATTATGATGTTGTTTGGTTTTTCTTTTTACCTACACTTTATAAATAAGCTATTCATATATCTTTTACAGGAAAGTAAAAGAAGCAAAAGAATACCAGGAGCAACTCAGGGCTCAAATGGCCTATCGACAACAGGTCCGTGATGCTGAGCAAGAAGAGAAGCAGCAAGATTATGAATCAAGTCTAGAAGCAGAGAGAGCTTACCAAGAAAAGGTACAGGACATTCTATCAACACCTCGTGAGAAAATAGCAAAACCCCACCCTTTTAGAAGAAAACTAATGTCTTAACTCTCAAGAAGATCACTCACTATGGTATTTTAGCTCCCTCAGTTGCCTTTAAAAACATTTTGTAAAGGTGTTTATAACTGACCCAAGCTAGCAGACCACTCTCCACTGTGATGCTCAAAATATTTAACTGGAAAATATAAGAAATGTAGTATTTTAAAGATAATTTTTTCCCATGTGGATTTTTACAAAATAACCAATCCAAATCAAAGTGTGTGACATTTTAATATAAGACTACTGTATGTTCTCTGCAGTATAATAGTGGATTATGGCACAAATGGTATGTAGGCATCCTTTAAGATCTGCACAAAGAAAACTTCTAGAAGAGTTTTAGAAAACTTTTATTGAAGTGCCTTTCACACTGAAAATATTTTCAAAGTCTTTTTTTGTATTTAGACAAAAATTACCTGGTGATTCATCTTCATTTTCCTTGTTAAACACAAAACTATGAATGTATTTTACTATGGGATGGGCAGTAAACAGCTGATACACTGCTTTGCACGTGTTCTGGTATCCCTAGTATGATACGTGGAATGTTGGAGTGCCAGTGCTAGTCTGTGAGACATCTGTTTGGACAGAATTAATTGTGCAGGACTGAAGTTACCATTTTCTTGGAAAAAGGGTTATTATTTATAATTTTGATGGCAACTCTGCCTTTTTGGACTGCCTTTGGATTGCTGCCAGTGCCGTGGTCTGAATACACAGAATGAGGGTGCAGAGCACCATCCACATTTTAAGACAGAGCAACACAAAAATGGTCAGATGTCAAGAGGAAGCTCTTGGAAGGGTTTTGGCAGTGGGGAGGAGGGACAGCTCCCCACAGGACACTTAGCTGCCCCTGTTAATGGACAAAATTGCCCTTTGTGCCAGAGGAGATGTGGGAGCAATTCAGCATCTCCCAGGGCATTGCCAGCAAACAGCTCCCTGCTGTGTGTTTAATTAGTTTTCCCACTGTCCTTTTCAGAGGAAGGAAGTGAAGAATCCGTTTACAGCCTCATATTCTTTCTTGTTCACAGACTGTGTGGCACTCAGAAATGTTTTAGCTGCTTTCTTGCATTTTGCCATTTGAGTCCTTGGTGCTAGTCACCTGCAGATGTTTCTCTCCTCCAGCTTTTCAGCTTCTACCATCTTTCCCCCAGCCCTTGCCTTTCTACCCTTTTCTTCTCCAACTTCCATCCCTCGCTAAGCACTTCCTCTACCATCTTTCTCCTCCCTATCTTCCCAGTGTTTGGTTCTGTCTTGGCAAGCCCCAGGACTCTTGTGGGTTTTGTTTTGTGGGAGCATGAACGGATGTATGGGGAAACTGATAAACAGCTGGGATTGGAGCCTAGGAGCTCTTGGAACAAATCAGGAATAAACTGCCTGCACAGTCACCTCAGTTTCTTGGTTTAAAGCAGACAACAAGTTGACAAACACTGTTTGTCTGTGGAGAAAGATGTCCATCTTTTTGCAAAAGAACAGAAAGAAATGTATTAATCTGAAATGGTATCAGTGATCTTAGCAGAGCAACACAGCTAATTATGGGTGTAAACGGTGGAAGAGCCTGGCCACAAGACCTTGCCCTGCTGAGGGGTGAAGGAGTGTGGTGGGGTTTTATCCTTGCTTACATACAGGACTTCTCTGAGAGCAGCTTCCTGAGATAGCAGATGGAAAAGGAATGAGTTCACCGGCTGTGACCATCCAGACAAGTGACTAGACAGAGCAGCGTGGTGCATCTTCATGTCTTCTTCCTTGAATCCAAACAGGGATGTCTGTTCCAGTATTTAAAGGGTGGCTACAAAGAAGATGGAGACTCCCTTTTTACAAGGAGTCCCATGGAAAAGATGAGGGGTGATGGGCACAACTTACTCCTGCGGAGACTCTGACTGGACATGAGGAAAATCTTTCAAAACAACCACCGTTGGAATAATCTCCACAGGGAAGTGGTGGACTCCCCAGCGTTGGACACTTAAGATTCAACTGGACAGGGTGCTGGGACATCTAGTCTAGGTCATGCTGTGTCTAGAAAGGATGGACCAGATGGTCCTTGAGGTCCCTTCCAACCTGGGATTCTATGACTCCTACAGACACTGAGAAAGGAAATGTCTGTTGCAAACCAGGAGCACGGGTTGCTAGTCAGGATGTCTAGCCCTTAAACGGTGCTTTTCAGCAGCCATCTCCAAAGCCACACAGAGCTGCTTCTCCTATTTTGCAGGTGGGAAAGACCATCCCAAATAATGGGAATAGTCTCATGAGTCCAGAGAGCTCAGATAGTTGTAG